TTTTTCTCCTTATGAAACAATCTTCATATCTTATTACCATATAACCAAATCCTTTATGCTAACTCATTGATTCGAACAAACTTACCCTTCTAAGACAATGTCGGCAACAACAACTTCAGTTTGGCGTTGGAGTACGATGACCACTTTCCTTTGCCCATAGCAATTTTTACTTATGTACGTATTAATGTGTCATAGCGATCAGTGTATGTTCAAGTTACTTGGGGAAAAGTGATATTCCCGTTTAATGTCATGCTCAACTTGATTCCGACGTACGACCTCCTGGAAATTCAGCCGGATGTCAACTTAGCAACGACGGCAAGTGGCTCCAGTAAGGCTTCTTTAGATGGGGGTTACGTGGACTCCTAGGGCGAAGCTAAGGAAGTCAGTTTCCTGTTGTGAGCCTACTGTGCGACCAACTCTGCAGTTTTAAAAGACCGAGGTGCAACGCTGACCGTAACGATCTGCTGTCCTGTCGCAGTGACTAAATCTCGATATAAAATGAACGTTAAGAAAGCGAGCATGTTGACTAAATTCGAACCCGAACTAATGTCACACGCTATATGTCTTTTTTTTTTTAGATGAATCTGATTACTTATTAAATGATGCAGGCGGACATATGTACAAGCAAACTTATTAGGTTATTCTTAAATGGTATTTCGTTTTTGGATTATAGCGCTCGTGTCATACTTTCAGTGAACACTGGCATTCAGTGTTACTTAGAAAATTCAAATTTTGAATACGTACAGGAAGAGGTACGTCTTGACTTCCTGCATCAGGTATAGTGTAATAGAATATTACCTCATCGTTTTTCCTGTCGAAACATACTGTACTGACTATTGAACAATTTATACCTGTAAAAATAATTTATATAAAAATACAACTAATACCATTTCGATACGAAGCGCTGTGTTTGCTCAATCCATCTAATAACTTCATTGGTACTGTCATCTACTATATTTATAAGCGTTAAGAATCACGTAGCATTTTAGGACAACTCCGTATTCTTCACAAAAACAGTGATACTTTATGATGCAAAACGTCTATATGTAACGCTATATAAAACTGTCTTAACAATTGTAGCTTGTTTTACCCCTAACTGTTATAAATATTCACATATAAATGAAATCTTAAATTATATAAGTATGCTTGAATGTATGTACATGTATTTCTCCGTGCCAAATGATTAAAGCCATTCGTCCGTTTGTATTTCAGATATATCTAACCTCCCGTACAGCTTCTTGGCTAATTATAACATTGTCTCTCACCTGAAACATTTATGACTGGGTTCTAAATTTCACAAAAGTGTTTTCTGCATAAAAGTAAACGATTTCATGTCTCATATGCTAGTCGCGACAGGGGCTAAAGCAATGCTATTGTGCCCCACAGAGTACTTCACAATATACATCAGTCTCATTAGCTTACAACACTCACCTAATGAGCACGCTTTTACAGGTCCAGCAGGCTAACAATATGGTGTAAGGGGTCTAAGATCTGTCCTGAATAAATCTATAAAAGATAAGCAAATAGAATTAGGATTCACCTATACCTTATAAACGATTACATAATTCCTAATTTGGTAACAATATTTTTTGCACAAACAACATTGTCTAAAGGATTTCATAAATCCGTTCCTGGCGCTCGATTTGAATATTTGTACGCTCATTCGTTCGACATTCGATTAAAAAGTATACAAAGTACATTTATATTGCATTTAATTTGTATTATTCGGTTGAGAGAGACACATGATTGATGCTGTAGTGTGATATCCTAAAAAAATGCGTTCGCGAAAGTCATTGGAACGACACATTTCAATGAAATCTATATACAAGTCTTCGTACGTTTTGTCCTCAGCACATCGCAGACTCATTTTTGCCCTACACACGCGCATTTCAGTGCGGATTCTTATATACTATGGATTTTCACGAAGTGACAATGCTTAAACAACACAAACACTAATAGAGATCTATTATATTTCATCAGTTTGCATTATCAGCCAATCGTATAGGTATCATTCACTGTCTATTTTAACTGAGTAGTAGAAGTACATTTTCTCCAGTGGTCGTCAAAAATCTCAGAAGGCGGTTTGTTGTTTTTGTTATTACGGCTAACTGTGTATCTATAACATGTGTTATTAAATGAAGAATGAAAGTATATTCAATCAAGTGGACGGGTAACGTGTGCATTGTTTGCAAACAATCTTTATGCCAACCCTGTTTAATCGTATTACAAACCGTTCAAATTGTAGGGCAACTATAGCGAAGTTCTTCGATATGGGTCTATGATAACAGCTATAAATAACGCAGTAAATGGCTGTAGCACGGGTAAGCAAGTAGCAAAATATGTGGTCATGTGCACTCACGCGCTTACCATAGCTTTAGTATGAGGTTAGATATTAGTAGGTCGGGGAGCTGGGTTACTTTTCCCCCATAACCTTAAACGTGATTGGGTTACAATTCTTGAAGCAGCATGATGTACTAAAATATAATATTGCCAAATGGTCCTGCACTGCATAGGGTGTGTAAAAAAAGGAATTTTAAAATAAACAGGCTCAGAAGTTGGATATATACAATTTGGACGTCTTACCTTTTGGAGCCGGAAAATGTGGACCTAGGAAAACTAAGTTGGGATTGGAGACAAGAGTTTGCTATCTGTAGAAGAACGAATGATTCTAAAGCACACTGACTGATAAGTGTTTTCACGTTCTTACGAACACGACTTTAACAGAGGCTATTTAAAAGACTTTATAGCTTACTAGTAATTTATCTGTAGATACGTAATTCGCTCTTCCTGTACGGAATATGTGTGTGGTCAATTTTGTAAATTTGGACCTAATTTCCGAAAAAGAACGGATATTTTTCCAGGATTAAGCGATGCCAGCAAATTGAACTCCGCTACTCCGATACTCCGCTAACATTTGCTAATTCTGCCTTCGGTAATCCTTATTCTGTAATATAATAGTACTATGTCTTATAAATATGGCATTTAGTGAAGTAAGATTTCTCAGTGTCAATGATGTTAAATTATATGTTTGTAATGTGGACCTACTATCAATATAGGAAATTCATCCCCTATGTTTATCTAGAGCATAAAAGGCTATGCTATACGTCTAAACATTCACTTCAAAATACCTATAGGTGTCTACTATGAACTGAATAGCGACTAAGAGTTCTGCCGGTTCACCACGGCAATTTCAAGCTGCCTTTAGGTTTACTTCATCACAGACAGCTTTCCTCTTCCATTATCGGTATTGGTTCCTATTTGCAGGCAGAGGGATGTACCGTATGTTGGTTAACAAAATTTGCCCCTATCTTCCGTTCTTTGTTTGTTTTCAGTTCATTTCCTCAGCTATTTCTAGATACCGCAGCATTATGATGTAGACTAAAAAGCAAATAATAAAAACAGTTTTTTGCGTTTCTGTTCCAGTCAGTCAAACACAATCCTATTGCATTTATCCTCGTACGATGATAAGCTATGTGTCCCGGAGTATCTTCGCTTACAAGTAATAGTTGTGTGCGATAGATTATTTAAGCGCCAGTTGTTGCGTGTATGGGCGTATATTCAGATTCTCGCTGTACTATAGAATACAGAGCTAGCTTCTGACTTTTGTCTCGGGTGTGCTTCTGGCCGTAAATCACAGCTGAAAACCACGCTATCGTTCTTTGTTATTTATCTGTTTCCTTTACTATTAATGGCTGCTTGACAGTCTTTGTTTTGGTGGTCCTGCCATTACATTCCGTTCAGTTCTTTTCCCTCTATTCGGATGATAAACGCCAGCTGTGTAGCATAATCGACGACATATGTGATGCTGAGGGTTGATAGTATCGTGTGTATGGGCCCATCAACATCGGTGCATAGGGTGCACCGTAGAAAGGAAAATCTCGTTCGCACATAAACAGGCGATCTCTGCTGCTGTAGGAGAGAACCGTCCAGGTTCAAAGAAGCGCTCGAAGAAGTGGCAAGTAATTTCGTTGCGTCTTAATACTCCGTGCTACAGATAGACGTCTGAATCTTCTTTTATACGCGTAAGAAACAAAACTATTCTTCTGTAAAATATAGACCTACTAACAGTAGTCTCAACGTAGAGTCAAGTTTAGCCCTCTTTGACTGTCTCCTCCGTTGCACACACAAACACACGTATTCAAGTGCCCCAAACAGATTGCTTTGGCTTTTCAAGCTTTTACAGATATGCGAACCACTTAACAGATTGGGGTCAGCCATGATCTGAGCCCACGGCCCATAAACGGAACGAGTGCTGGCAATGCTTCTTCTGCTGCTCTAGCTACAAGCTGGTGTTGGTTCTTCAGGCGTGGTAAAGCAAGGGTTGGAAATTTGCTGCTTGTAAACAAATAACCATGAGCGATTTGGCTAGCTAGTCGAAAAGGACCTTGAAGCCATTGCAGAAGAGTTTGAAGAAAAGAGGTTAGGTAAGTGCCGCTGAAAGTTCAGCAATGAAAGCGATTGCCTCGTGCACAGTGGTTTGTAGGGTTAAATGCAATAGTGCAGTAATGGCAGTAGATGTCTGCTCAAAAATGGTACACTTCAATTCGGGGGTCAAATCTGACAAAGTGGATAAATTCACATACATATGTTTATTCGAAGCGTTATCTTAAAAGTAGTGCACTTGCCTACTAATATACGACCTAATATTTATCCCCTGAGAAGACTTCTCCATACGGGCGTGTAAGATGCGATAGTCTTCGAAATTCGATTAAAATGACGCAATAGTTCTGTGAGCAAATTTATGAGCTGATTTTGTTTAATGAGAAATGGTCCTATTAACAATTACAATATGAAACTTCTTCTTTCAATGTAAAAAAGAATTAATTAAAAATATATCTTCCAAACGCAAAAATAAATCGACAAAGGCTCTTTCGATTTGTCTATGCTTTAGAATCTACGAATGTTACCTAGCTAAGTCTAAAAAGGACTATAGTAGCAATATACAATGCAATTTTAGGCAGTCGCGTTGCTCATAATCACAAGCGAAGCAACGACTTTAAACACGAATCTCGACTCTTCAAAATAAAGAATACAACCAGCGATTTATTTAATACGGGGTAGCTACAGACTTTAATAGCAATGGTGTAGATAACCTTTTTACTAGTTCCATCTGGAAGCTTTACAATTGTCAAAAAATCAACAATTGGCGACGACGGGTGTCAACTTCCGGTTCAGGAAAAATGTCCTGGCCTTCCACTTCTTCATTTTCGACAAACTATTTTATCTCCAGCTCCGGGCATCGTTCCGCAAGCGATTCCATAAGCGTCCGAAAGTTTCGTAGAGCGAGGACATGCAGACAGCAATAAATAATTTCTCGCCAGAGGGAAGGAAAATTTACGATGGGCTTTACCTATGTGGGGACTGCGTATACTCCACAGATAGTAAAAGTACTGAGTGACCTCGACCGAACTAAACAAAGCCCCTTGCATCATACAGATGTTTTACTTGAAGCTGTTAATACTTTGGTAACTATAATTTTTCCGCTTAATTTTCATTGGCTAAACTGGTTATACTCACAGATCATTGTCTACTTAAATGAAAATAGGAATTGCGGTGCTCTAGACATCTCGCCTCGAACAGGAATTGTATTGTAGACGAGGTTAAAGGGCATATGAATACAGAACTTACCCATGCCTCAAAAATAGAGCACCACGACCTCACGTCAGGTGTAAGCGTCGTTTATGGACAGATGTTTCTCGTAATGGTTTATGGCCGGCGGAGTAATAGCCCCATTTTCCTCTGTCACTCTCGCAGATATTGCACTAACCCATAGCATGCGATCGTTCGCCTACAACAAGTGACACAAACGAAGTTTGTCACGATGCAAAACGCAGACAGCTTTGAGGGTAGGCTCTCCTGCATTGATAGCTGAGGAATGAATAGATCAATGCTAGGAGGAGAAAATTCTTAATTTATAACGCATGAGGTTCAATGAGAATCACACTGGGTGGAATATTTTTTCAACGAGGTATTTATAGGTTTGAAAATCCTTGCTTCGTGTGTTAACGTCTGTTCAATGTCCAATATGTGTTAGGCGCCAAAATTTGAAAAAATCTAATTGCGCTTTTCTTTAATTGTTAGCCGAATTACGTAAAGTGATATGAAAAGTACCATTAAGTGCACGCTTTTATATCGATGGTATTCCATGGTTACTAACGTGTCCTCTAGAATGGCAAAAGATGGTTTAGTAAACAGGTTCCTAACAGAACATGTCGACCCAAATAGAACAAAAGCGCGTGTCGTAGTAATAGGCTTTAATTCGGAAAGGGATGTTCGCCTAAAGCCGCCATAGAAGCAAGAAAATCGTTTGAAGAAAAGTTTCAGAGTAGATCCAAAGGGACGAACAGAAAGAACTGTCGTTGTTCTTCTTTCAAGTGAGCAGGATCCCCGGTTTCGCAAAGATAAGCAAATCGGTTACCACAACAGATCTAGCAATAAAATTATCAAAGAAAATAAACTTCTGAATATGACTAAGTAAGAAAAGTCACATACACGACAATTGTGGGCTATTTAAGCAATCATCCGTTAGAAAATACCATACTATACGCTCGAGCGCAGTGACGAATTTCAGACTTTTTTGTCATACCAAAAGTAGATGGGCGACGAGCATTGTTGTGCATCGCAATTGACCTCTTCAGTTACCATAAGCATTTCGATAAAAAAAAAAATGTAAATGGTACCAATGTTATTAAGAATAGCAAAAATACACATGAGTTGTATTTATAATATTCTATTTAGTAGCAAATAATTAACCTCGTCAGCGAGGTCAAGCCGGCATGCGATTTAACTTTAGCGTATTTCAGGGTAGTATTATTATAGCTACAGGTCGTCCCTAACGCTTTAATCTAATGAAATCGGTGCTGCCGTAGCCCGCTTTACGTTGTTGTTTAAGCAGAAGTATGTTGATAAGTTCAGCACTCAACGAAGTGCTCTAACTTCAAAGGCTAATGAGAATAGTTCTCTTGCCTCCTTGTGTCTAGCTGCATTTTTATGTCTATATATTCGTGCCAAGAATAAATGGGGCAAATAAGTGATATGACCGTTTTAGCTTTTCGGACAAAGAAAATCGCTAGATTTTTTCTGCCTTATGTAATTAGCTTTCCGTATAACATTCATTATCGAAAGAAATCTGTGTAATACAAAAAAAAAAGATAATATAATATATGCGCCTAATATATACTTTAAAGGTACTTCTTATTACACGTGAAAGCAATACGCTATATTCGTAGAGAATTTGAGCTTCTTTCGTGTCTTGAGCTTACTTCTTGTTCAACTAGTTTGTACGATATCTAGCTCTTCTATTCGGTATGAACTATTCCGTGCCGTCATTTTTTGTCACGTCTTTGAAAGAATTTGCCCGGCTTCTTATTTGAGTACTCTCGGTATAATGTAAGAGTAAAACGTATCAGCTCTACATGGTGCTAACGCCAATGGAACCGACTTAATCTTTTATCATAGCCTAAGGAACTAAACAAAAGGCAACGCGGTCCTATCCTATAACTCAGCTAAAAAAAGCTTTGTCATTCCTTTCGCATATTTTCTGGACATACTCGTATAAAAAGGCGTATAAGGTTAGAACCTAAATTATACTGGTCTGAACGATAAACAGTAGACTAGAACGGGCGGCCGTTTTTTTAAAATTCTCTCATAACAAATGATTCATAACGATATAGAACTGTTGCTTAATCTGTACTGGGGATCTTCCATTACGAATCGTAGTAGTTGTTAACTAACAGCACCATGAATAGTAACGGTGCGGACCCTTAAGCTAAAATGAAGAAATCTGGTAGAACGAGAGAGCCGATTATATGGGTGCGTTCTCTCTCACCCTTAAATTTCTGCCAAAGTAAGCGTCAGATCTGACAGACCGCGATCTTCATCTTCCGGGGTACTGCCATAGAGGTAATAGTTTAGTTTTTGTTTCGTCTGCAGCACACTGTTTCCCTCATAGATATCTCCATTTATATTTCCTTTTATCTTTAAGGTCTCTTGTAGGTTTTTAAGCGACGGACATCATTATTATTACCCCTGTGGACAGTGGGCAGGACGCCAAATTTACGACTCTGAGATTTCGGGTTAGGTTTTCAACTGAGGTTTAGTGAGTGAGTTATTTTTGTTTAATGAGTTTTTAACCGCGCAGTACATTTGACTGGCATAAATTTAACTACTCTTTTTACTTGTCATATATTCCAAATTTTCTTCCGTCGTGCCATAGGCACTATTGCTTAGAAATTATTAGGGTATTGGTGCTTAGAAATTTTGGCTTTAATAATAGAAAATTTTCACAGAGTATGGTTGCTGTAATTCACATTTGAAATGTCAATTGGCTCTGTGTTTTTTTTTCCCACAATTATGCTTCTTCTCAAGAAAATGAACGTGAAAAAAAACTGCAATTATTTCTATTGAACACTCAAAATGCATAATTGCTTTAACTTTAAAGTCTCTCACCGATTTGCGACCGGATCGGACAAGGCGTAAGCGATACTTCTCCGACGTTTCAAAGTAGTCGATAACGAAGCTCTTGCTTTTTCCCGATTGGCTTAAACTAGTGACTCCCTATCACACACGCAGACTCCCCTTTTTTTTTTTTTGGGGTATGGGTTGCGAGCGAATGCTGTTGACTCGAACGGGCTGACTATTTGCAAAAAACACCACTCCATCTAAAACGAGAAGCAATACTAATGACTTTTACATTTCATTAGAGTGTTCAATTGGCAGATAGCTATAAAAGTTAGCACTTCTTCCTGTCTAGTATTCAGTACACTATTGGACTAGAAGTCGAAGGCTATTTTAGGCTCTGCTTAATTAAAACTAAAATCTTCCAAACGATAAAAACACTTGAGATCGCTTAAGTTGAGCACCGTATTTTGACCAGGTCGAATCAAGGATGACAGATTTACACAGACGACGAAGACATTCGCGAAGACAGCCATACCAATAATTACATACAGAAAACAATAGTTATACAAAGTGGCGTACACGATGGGGAAGTAGTTGCGTAGCACAGCGGACTTCTTTTTTTAGAGAAATTAAAATTAATTTGCTGAACTACCTCCTCGAGCTTTATTGATTTTTTGGATGAGTGTATTAAATAAGAAAATGGTATAGAACGCAGTTGGTATAGACGTTAACTGTTGGTTTCCATGTTTTTGATATTATTCCATCCTGAATATCTGAGTTATTTAACTAAAATATCTTCTGTTTTGTCACAAGACGTTCTTCTAACTTATTAGTATAATTAGAAAATTTAGACTAAATAATGAGAATGAATAATAAAATTGCACGTCCTAAATAATGAGAAAGCTTATATAAAAGTGATAAAGCAATTTTGATTATACGAATCATTTTCGATGATACGGCAGAAATCTAAATTTCGGATCGATACCGTTACCGTTATATTTTAATCATATTCTACTTATCTTGGTTTACAACTAGTATGAACGTTTTTCTAAACGGGTGTATGGTTGATTTTTAGATTGTTTTAATGCCTTTTTTAATCGACTCTCACTTATTGCTTGTCGTTTTTAACTCAAATTACTTCGTATACTTCGACTTTTGTTTAAGCAGGTGTAGGTACCTTAAAATTTAAAAAAACCAAAGGGATATAATGCGGATAAGATCAAAGCAAACAAAGGGGCTTTCAATTGTACATAGGATTAGTCATCAGAAACAGATAATTTAACAAAGCGATGCAATAAACGAAAACCGTATAAAGTTCAACAAGTCCATCTGGTCGACAAAGGCATTCTATTGAATATTCTTTAAAGCATTGTGTGCGTATAAAGCAACCTTATGGGGTACCCATTTATGGCCTATTTGAGACAGCAATGCAGGAATAGCCCCCAATCATATGTGCATGATAGTACGTATAATAGAATAATAATGTGCCCTAACTTCAGTCGGCGGAATATGTAAAAGAGCGCAAAAAAGAACGCATATAGGGGCACCAATTCAAGTTTGTATGTGCAACACATGAACAGCGCATATATATATATATATATATATATATAGATGCTCGTCAGGGGACCCTCCAATTTATTGGCTTGCTTGGTACTACGTCTGCTTAATTCTTGAGCTACGTAGGTATATGTTGTTTGCACCCAATTCTAAAACCCGTATTAAAGCTGGGCTTTGCGTTACTTCGAATTTCGTTATGATTTCTTCGTCGTTGGCTTGCTCATAGTCGTTCTGGTTCATTTTTGCACACGCGAGACTGCTTTCGCGGCGTTCGTACATTTGCTCCCGTCATTATGGTACTCTCCATAGAAGGGAGTTCAATTTGGAACAGTACTACTATCGAAACGAGTCGGGCTGGGTAGTAACACCGATATCAGCAGTAAGTTCACAGCCTGGAGATATGCTCATCGTAGAAAAAGATCATGAAGCTCCACTACCAAGTGGACCTTTACCTAACATTTCCAGCCTGAACGATTCGCAGAACTGCTTCTACTACCATGCCTATGCTATACCACTGTTCCATATTATCGCTTCTGCGGATGTAACTGCTAATGTCAAAAGGTAAAAAATTAGCATTGAACCTTGTTCTGTCAGCTCTGTTGTAGCCGCTCATGCATTGTTCCTGTCCATACTGTCCTACTCCCACTGCAGCTTCAGGTCATCTATCATCTTCGTTAAAACTCCTACGCCTGGCCGGCTGTTTGTATGCAGGCTCGAAATCCCATACACCGTTGTTTCTTGAAGGCTCATGGCGGGTTGGCAAGTGGCAACGTGGCCGATTGAGTTCTATGGATTTTTTTCACCGAGTAATTTCACTTAGATCGTAGTAGAACGCTCATCGAAAAAAAAAAAAAAAGGTGTAATGATTCCTTGTCTGCGCGTCCTGTTGTGCCGGTAATTTGCAAGTAATATATTACGCATTGCATAAACACATCCACACGTATGTACAGAAATGTACAAACTTTATGGTATTATTCAACTGTGTATTATTTGTCTGTTTATTGTCTTATAGATATTGTCCTAGAGGCCAAAATGAGCATCATCGATTGTTGGTTCCTCATCCCCAAATAGTTAAATTACTTGAAATTATGCTCGACGTATGCCTACCTCGTGTAGCTTAAAATCGCCAAGCTTGCTAAGGCATATATCGGGCCGTTTGTTGTATATTTAGCCTATCCACTACATTTACAAAGCTACTTCTAAATGAAATGGGCAAATATTCGCAAGAAACGCTTAAGCCTTCTATAAAAGTTACCCTGTACTTTTCGTTTACATCCCCAGATCCAAAGTAAAAATTCACAAAATCGTAAATGTTACATATAAAACTTTATATAAGTTGATTTTTTTTTAATCATTTTTTACCATTTTACAATCAAAATTTGTTAAACCAACATAATTCAGATGGGGTCAGAAACCTCAAAACTTAAGAAGATAGCACATATTGGTACCATTTGTTCTCCACAACGTTCGTATTTACGTTATGACATCACCCCATTTTAGCGGGGGTGTTTCAAAATAAAGAAGAGATCAACTTTTTGGGGGATAGAGCTCGATAAAAAAAAAGCTATTAAACTTTTATGCATAATTCAATCCTTTTCAATTACATGCCGCCGTATCACGGATTTCGTACCGCTTTAAGTTTTCCTTTTCCCATTTAGCTCTATCCAAATGCCAGTACTGTTATTATGTGAATATTAAAACGGTTCTGCAAAATACTGATTTGTATTTTTTTGAGACGATCGCGCATTGGTCATAATCAAAAAAAAAAAGCTTGTCACTTTTTCTGTCACAGTATCCGTCGATTGACAGCTATACCAGGCAAAAATGAGCAACGAGCGACATGTCCTTTCAGGGACATGAGACACATACGAAAGTGCTCTCAGATCTACGGAGCGGAGTTCACGATTTGACACGAGCAAATAATTCTGTATACGTCGAATCTGCTACTGTGCATAATTATTCACACAGTACAACTCCATGCTTCGGGTCTTACGTTCGATATCGCCATGAAGCATTCGATCAGACGGCTGGCTGGCTGGCTGGCTCCTGGCACGATATGAGGTTTATCTATGTCCTGGTTCGAACCTACACCATAACGTGTCTCTATGATGAACAGGCCATCCCAGCACGACGACCCGCACGACAACTCTAGGGTCACTGGACCGGTTTAGACCCATCGCCTAACGGTTGCAATCATACGATCACTCCAGCTTTCTTTTTTGCAAAAGTGTTCACCTTTTAGGAGCAGATGATATATTGAGAAACATTTCAGAATCAGTGTTGAGCGTTACTGTCGCTGAACGGTCATCGTTTCGATTCCGTGTCACCGAAATATTGTGAGATGGCCGCATTAAATGAATGAAAATCACACAAATTTTTCAGAGACACTATTTTGTGACTGTGGTCTGCTTCAAGCGTGATTAGTTATGTTGGCGTTTCGGTGGTGCTTAATTAACCTAAAGAACGCAGTCTTAGCAGGACACAGCTACCGAGAGCTATTGGATCGAAATGACAAACATTTCAGTAGTTTTATTTCGAAGTTAAAAAAGTCAAATGCGCTTATCGAAACCAAGCTTATCTAACTTACTATTACTCTTTGTTGTATTGTCTTTGTTATATCAATGCAATTTCGGGATTGAACCGAAAGAGAAATCTTTTAGGGCGCGCGTGTCTCCTTCATTGAAAAATGGTTTTCACACGACCTGTTATTCTACTAAATAATGTGTCCTGTGTCTTTATACAAGTTCAAGCATTTAACCGTAGAAGCATAGATTGCGTGGATTTCAGTCACTTTAAAAATAACTAATGTCTAGTTTTCAAAAACGCTGTGTAGCTCCGTTTCTAGCCTGAAACACGTGATTTTATCTTTTCTATTCAATGATTAAAAAAATGTCTCCCCCAGAGAAAACTTTACATTTTTGACACTCACTTCAGTTCTATAAGAACTACACCCCAAGAGAAAGCTGTCATGGATTAGGCATAAGCATGTCTAAATTATCTGTGTGAATCTTGCTTCGTGGGATGTCTGGTTAGCTATATGCTAACTGAAACCTACTATACTACCAGAATCGCTTTAAGAAATGTCACAGCCCTTTTTTCAAGCCTCCTGGCTATTTTCCGTTTCTCAGAGCTCACGAAAAGGTCCTCACGAGTACTTTGGAAGCTGCGCATGTTTTTAAGGTATTTAAAGCTGAAACTTCACTCTGAACGTAGTTACTTAATGAAATTAAGCATTCAAGCTTGCTTGTATTGGTCAGTATTAGAATGGGTCCGCCCCTAGGAAATCGTATTTCCTCGCGTGTCATGGTAACATGTTGCTATTGGTTGAACTAATAGTTCCGCGACTAAGAGAAAAGTACTAAAATGTAGTACCTGTTGATGCGGATTTTACAATTACTTGTTAGCACCTAAACGCCAATTACGTCGAACGCGGCGTGCTGCAAACGTTAATGGGTATCTTTCTGTGTGCATTGCGATGGTAACCGTAAACATGCGGCTATTGCTAGTATTAACTTTGGCAAATGGTTACTATAGCATGTTGCTACCATGCTGTTTTAAAAGTCTGCTAGACAAACACGCAGTTCAGCCCAGTAAGTAGTTCCAAACGGCTTGAGTATACGACCCTCAAAACCCTTCCATTCTGTGTGTGAGATAATGTCACCACATACACGTACCGCAGCAAAAAAGAGAAGGCTAAAAACGATATATAATAACACATTGAACAAAAAACAAATTGCCTGCTAACTAGATTACGTCTAGTAGTAGATTTGAAGTTATTCCTCGACCTTGGACGCAATGTGCTGCCCTAACGTGTGCAAACGTTTTCTTTTTAGTTGAAAGCATTTACTAATATGGTTCCGCTGAAAATGTGTTATTATTCAGTACCATTCTAGCAGGTGGCAATGCGAGACAATCTATAAGATATCCCGTTAGCGATATTCATAGTACTAATAGTGGTCTGCTTTATCTCAAATACACCATATCGCAAATAGTCAAGATTTGCATAACGAGTAAATATACGGGATATCAACCTGCAAAGGATGGTTTCTGCAGTCGATCGTAGTTCTGTTTAGGTGCTCAAGTAACTCCTTTTCTGCCAAACCTCATAACCGAAAAAATATGATATGTGTACTTGACAGTTGCCTTCGTTTGTGCATAACGTTCCGTGAGTCAATAAGGATAATATTACTAGTAGCAGTAGAAAAACCCTACCCGCAAAGCTGCTTCGAGTGTGAAAACACTTCAGGATATCTGACGAGAATAAGACATGTCATGTTCCTGGAATACATATATTAGAAGCTTTTAAGTTTATTTAGGCTGTCCGATAATGTAATCGTTATTTCATACCTTCTCCAAATAACAACTTGTTTTTGGTCGAAGCGGTAAGATCACTTCTATAGACTTGAAACAATTGATGTGGTTATAGCTATCCCTCTTCTTAGACATATCGATTAAATAATTTCAATTTTAAGGATAATTTTATACAGCATAGGAGACAGAATATACCTAAATTTTCCCGATATATGTATCTATATATATATA